CTTGTGGTGTACAGGTCGAGGGGGCCGGAAGCTTATAGAAGATTCAACTTTATTTGCTGAATGTTCACTATTAATTGCCAGTTGGCCGTTTTCCCCCGAGGTGAGGGTAGGAGAGAGGGGCCTAGAGCAACGACGTTTATGCTCAGGCTTTAATTCATTGGATGCATCAGTGACCAAAGAATCTATGGGGCTTGAGGATATAATGGATGAAAAAAATAAATTAAAACAAATGGGTCAATAAAAGCTTATCCTGAAAATAAGTGACAAATTACCACGACTGATCAAGGGAAGCTTGTTGGATAATGGAATCATATGCAGGATTAACTTGGTTACGTCGTCGTGAAACGGATTGATGTAAGGGAATAAGTATTGCACTTTGATCAGATAAAGTTTTGACAGCATGGTTTACAGATGAGCCATTCGATTTTGGAGTGTCAACGTATTTAGCGGAGACCGAAGTCGATGCACCCTCTGCTAGGACCTTGGAGTTGTCAGAAGCTAAATCCACGACTGCTAAAGCTGGAGTCATTTCATGAGTAATTTTACAGCTTAATGGATCCTCGGAGCGTGGCTGTGAGGAGAGAGGAGACTGGTGAGGTCTGCGAAGTGTTCGTCTTGTAGGTTTGGGACTGTGCGAACCTTTGGATACAAACTCAATATTGTTCTGTGGAAAGCTAAATGTATTGGATGGTTTTTGACAAGTATCTTCTGTATTCACCTGCGCAATTAACGCGCCAACTTCGGCATGCGAAACTGAGTAGTCGTCAAGCCTAAACTCATCATTTACATCCGCGTCCATAGAGTACAAAGAACTCTGATTTGAACCAGATGATACCGTAGAAGTATTTGAAGAATGTTCATCTCTGCAAGCGACAGGACTCAAGTCAAGTGAAGAAAGATCGACAATCCGGCCGGCAAAGTCGACTTCTTGGACCCCTGACTGGGATAAACAAAATGACTTCTCAGAGTTAACCCGACGGAGACTAGAATCAATTAATCCTAACTTTCTTGTGTCAGTCATGCGCCTTATTCCGTCCTCTTTCCATAAAAGATTTAGACCTGATGTTTCCAAAGTGTTTGGATCAGCTGAATGACCACGAGCCTTCGAAATAGTAGAAATATCCGAGCGATAAGTTCTAAAGAAAAAGAGGATCAAAAATCAACAAGTATAGATACCAAAGGAGTACATATGTAATATGCATACCCAGATATTGCGTTCTGAGGAACAGGATTGTCCTTATCAAAGGAATCAGCGATAAGCACCGAGTCCTTTTGTTGGATGGGCTGTTGTGAAACACGAGAATCCATAATTGGAGGACCAGGTAGGCCAGCTACCGGTACAGCCAAAGCATGTAGCAGAATAGGGGATGCGGCTGAAGAGACTTGATCATTCATTTTGAACATAAGAGGGGAATCAGAATTTACTGATGAATTATCAGATTGTATAGAAGAAAACGGTTGCACAAGCGGCAGAAGGGCATACAGACTAGTGGCATTTCTAGGCAGAATAGACGGAACGGGCAGCACAGAAGAATGGGATGGAAAACCAAATCCGAAGGGTGTGACAGCACGTGCGGAGGATGAGTAAGGAGAGCCTGAAGGCAAATGATTAAAGATAGCTGCTAGGAGTGGCTGGTGCTCTAAGTTTGCAGTGAAAGAATGCATTTGCTGAACCAGTTGCCGTGAATGGATTGGACGTGAGAGACCTTGTGGAGTATCATCTACAGTTGACATGGACGGCGTTGAAGATAGATTAAGCGCGACGGGATGCGCATTCAGTCGATTAGAAGCCTCGCCTCGAGTTGAATTTGATGAAACACTACCGCCCACTAAAAATAACTGGGTCCCAGGCATGTTGCTGCCAATGCTAGGCAAACGAGAAAAAGGAACCTGAGGGGCAAAGATTGTAGGATAAGTAAGAGGATGGCAGAATGTGATGGATGGGGCATCAGATGTCGGGGTTGAAGTTGAAGTTGTGACGAGTCCATTCAAATTAGACGATGTAGACACGACACCAGTGCTTAAAAAAGGCAGATCTGACCAGGAAATAGGATTCCGTGTATTTGAAATTGCGGGAGATGAAGCAAATTGGCTAGAAGATGGACTAGGTTGTCCCGATACCCCAGCAAACGTTCCAGAAATATGAGGCAACAGGGCAACTGGTATAGCCATACTGGATTGCAAGGATGTTCGCAGACGATTTGCGTAATCTGCTATCCGTTGTCGTTTCTCAATCACATGCTGCAAGGTAAGAAATATGTCAGAACCGCAAACGTTTAAAGAAATGCACGCGAATAACCTACTCGGGAAATATTAATGATTCGGCTGAGAGCTGTTTGATGAGACATTTGATTGAAGTAATGAGGAAGCAGAGCACTACTCAAAGCGATATAAGCATGCTCGAAGGCCCGTCTGACTTGAAACATTGCATAGGACCGTCTACCCACATCATTAGCTTCAATGTCAAATAAATTAAGATAGCATGCTTACTAGGACAGAGTGGATCCTCAATACATAGAATTGATGGTCGCGAAGAAAGACTCATATTCGGATACAAAAACTCTTTTCGCACATAGACTCCGCCATCCAAAACACGAATTGCAGTAGTTTCATAGTTAAACTTCCTTCCATACAACTCAAAAAACTCTACAAGCAGGCTTCCCAGATTTATGTGTTCATATGTAATATTTGGACGGACAGAATCCTAAGATGAAGTTATCATGAAAATACACTTGCCTGTAAAAAACGGACCGACATAAGGATCAGGGCATATGAACTAAGACCGCCCGTCCACACCTCATTGAGATCACGTTGTAAAAGAAATTGCTTTAAAGCGAAGACAAGGTATGGAAGGCAGGGGTAGGTACGAACATACCTTTTAATCAAATCAACGGCACGGACACTATTCGCCATATTAAAGCTAATATCAACACGGACTTCCGTGTCTTTATCAGTCATTTTAACGATAGGAACCTTAGAAATAAGCATAAATATTGTAGTACCGTGGCTTTATCTAAAACCTTGATATCGGAAGTCAGGCCAGACTCAAGAAGTCTCCGTTCAAGGGTGTAAAGAGGTAAAGCCTCCCATCTTCCAAATATTACCATATCTATGTCACTTGTTGGGAGATAAAGGCCAGTACTAAAACTTCCAAATACATCGACCTATAGTAGATGACTAATGGAGGACATACCTGGCAATCCGGCCACAGGCCATGAATTACACCCTTAACCTTCAAGACTACGAGCTCTCGAACAGTCTGTTCTTCTAGTGTTGGAGAAATGTAGCTGTAAAAATCTTTGATCTCTTTATGAAGCCTATTAAGAGAGTTAGCATTCGTTTGAGAGAATGATATAAATAATAGATATACCCGATGATGCCGTATTCGTAGTGAGTATTCGTAGGTTTCCAAGGAGGATCACAGCGTATCACAGAGTCTGAAGACAAAGTCGTACCGGGAGATTGCCTGTTTACATGCGCAGGATCGAACAATCCAATTTGGTAGGGCGTATTCCGAATCGCAGCATCGTTCATTATGCAACTATGATAGAGACCTCTAGACGCTGGCTAATCGCAAGCTTTTATAATCTGGCAAATATCAGAACCGTAGCAATGCAAAAATATCCCCATAAAAGCGACAAAGTAAAGGAAGTAGGAAATTAGTATAAGGGGAGCAACGTGCGAAGGCGACGAGAGCGCCTGACCAACGATTCAAACCAAGGCACGACTGATGGCATGGAAATTAATTGGTCAGAATCTTATAACTTTTGCTAAAAGCATCGCAAAAGGATAACTTCCAAAAGAAAAATTAATACTTTATCCAAAACATTTTACATGCTGCCTTGTTTGCATTTGGCGCTTAGACCCGAGAAATTTAGACTACGTTTATCTTAAGAATTTACTCATTCTTTCTCAATTAAATTTGTAAATACTTATTTAAACACAGAATATGAGCCAACAGCTCATAGAACTTGCACCATTGTGCCAAATTTATATAGAAATTAGAAATGTTGGTTATGTATTTATGTAGTGGATAAATTGTAAACTATGAGCTTATGCATTCTTAATTGATGGGTAAAAAGCATTTTTAACGAAACCCTAACACTTCATTTACTTAAGCTCTTCATTCTCCAAATCAGACCATAGCAAGTTTGTGCTATTAAATTGTTGTCCTTATGTTAGAAAGACATTTCGCTCAAAAGGTTAGCTGACCACAAAAATACACGTAAAGACACGTCAGTCC